TTTCTGTGACTGGATTTAAACCAAAAGTGCTATCATGTAATCTAAAGCTAACTTTTAACAGGGAGGATTTGTGCAGGACTTCTTCCTTAGCCAAGTGGCGAGGCGAGGACTCCAGAAAATCACTTCTCCTGGAGTCTTTTTTTGTGGCATTCGAACAAATAAGATATGTGAGTTTTTGGATTTCTTTTTTTTTTTAATCTGCTTTCTATGCTGAGTTTAGTCAAACGGTTGCCAGATGTAGCTTCTCGGTCAACATGAAAATGTTTGTTGACAAGATAGAGGATGAGTCCCTTTCTTGAATGCCGTACTCATTTCTGGTATGTTTACAAATAATCGTTAAATTCGTAAATCAAAATGTCTAAATTCGGTAGATTTTTCATCTTAGCCGTAAAATCAGGAAACTAGAAGATTTATAGATCAGCTATCTTATATCCCCTCTCTAAACCCAATAGCTGCCCAACATGAATCTGGTTCTGCTCGAGTTTTCTGCCTGTTAAAGAAGGTTCTTCCTCTCCAATGTGACTATAAATTTATAAATAAATATATATATATATATATATATATATATATATATTCACACAAGACCAAATATATGTACTTCCCGCTGTATTTGCTTTTTTGCTTTTATTTTGAAAGGCTTCAAATCAACTTCCAAGGTAAAATAAAAAAATGTATTCCTAGTATATTTGCTTTTATTGTGAAAGGCTTCATATTCACCTCAAACATAAAAATGTACTCAGGGTATATCTGCTTTTATTTTGAAAGGCCTCAAATTAACCTCAAACATAAAAATGTACTCGGGATATATCTGCTTTTATTTTGAAAGGCTTCAAATTAACCTCAAAAGTAAAAATGTACTCAGGGTATATTTGCTTTTATTTTGAAAGGCTTCCAATAAACTTCCAACATATAAATGTACTCGGGGTATATTTGCTTTTATTTTGAAAGCCTTTAAATCAACCTCCAACGTTTAAATGTACTCAGGGTATATTTGCTTTTATTTTGAAAGCCTCAAAATTAACTCCCAACAAAAAAAATATGTACTCCTAGTATGTTTGTTTTTATTTTGAAAGGCTTCAAATCAACTTCCAGTCCGCTGAGTGGAGGTGGGTCCTGACAGTGGAGGTCTGCAGCCAGACTGTCTTGAAGTTTCCAGGAACTTAGTGCATGTCTGAAAAAGCAAAGAAAATTCAGTCTGTGGATGTGACGCCTCAGAAATTAAGGTTAATCCCACTTTTAAGATCATGACCTGGTCTCCGATACCAAAGTGGGCCCACAGTCACGTAAACCTGCTCTTAACTCTGTTTTAGCAGGATGAACTGTCTGTAGTTCAGCATCAGGGCTCTACTTCAGCTTCACCCCTGACATCACTGACATAGTTTGGCTCAGGACTCCTGCACACTGGGGTTGAAATGAAACACTGACTCGGAGGTGAAAGTGCCAACTTTCAGCTTTAATTCCAGGGTGTGCCTTCCTTGAGGTCTTCAGTTTGTTTAAAGAAACGCTCACTCGGATTGAAATAAGGTGACAGATTTGGCGAGTTTGGATTGTTTGACTCTGAAACCCTGAGAGTACGAAGCTGACTTTTCACCCCACGCTGTCGAGAACTCCCTCAAAAACGAGTAAATCAACATTTGAACCTTACAGCCTTTATTTTGATTTGGAGTTGATTCCTCTGACTTTAAAATATTCTGTTGGATCGTATGGCACACATCCACTGTATCCTAACCCTGTACTTTCCTTTTACAGAACACCAAGTAACTGCCCAACCAGCTATGTATTTTTCCAATCCAATCAATACGAACTGCACTTGAAGCCCCACTGGGGACTGTGTATGTGTGTATATTGTTGTGAAACAGTCTGACAACAACAGTGATGCTTCTTAATGATCTGAAAACCAGTCAAAACCAACGGCGAGAAGATTAAACCTCTAGACTGTAGTGTTTAGTGCCTGTCTTTGCTGAGGGGGTAAATACCAGACCAGACTAGACGACTGACAGCCAAGCAGAAAAGTTTCAAACTTTTTCTTCTGTAGAAAAACTAAAGGATTTCTTTTTAATCAGAAAACAGGAATGATGAGTGAACAACAAATAACCTGAGTCACTAACAGGCTCCGAAAGACAGTTGTTTGACTTTGTTTTCTCTTGCCTGTTCACGCCTTGTTTGGATCCTTGCATCAGAGCCACCTTGGAGATCCCTTGTCTGTCAACATCCACTTGATGTGTTTTTAGAGCACATGTTAAATGCAATATCAGGGGTTTTCTACCTTCATGATGAGCTCTAAAAACCTCCGACAAGTTGACTCTTGGCCTGGCGTCTCCAACTATGACAGTTGAGAGAAATACGATCAGGAGGAAACATGGATGAGGTTGTGTTGTATGTTGAAAATCAACTACCTGATTTTTTCTTTCTTTCTGCTTTTTAAAGATTAAAGTTTGAGCTCTTATTGAGTGAGGACAGAGTAGGAAGCAGAGGTGTATCTGGTCTTTTTTTTTTGTTTGTTTTTTATTGTTTTTTTTTGGGCGATTTTGCCTTTTATTGACAGGACAGGGTGAAATGTGGGGAGATAGAGAGAGAGAGAGAGAGGGCCGGACTTAGACCGCTACGAGAACTATGCTCCCCATACAGGGGGTGCGCTAACCCGCTTGGTCATCTGCGCGCCCCCCTAACTTGATGTTTTGATGCTGTTTTGTGTCCAACTTCTATCTCCCTCAATCTTTCCAGAGCTAGCCATGCTCGTCGTAAATTGAAGCATCTCAGATGTGAAGGGCTCTAGATCGCTGAAGCTGTGACATTGACGCAGTGGACATATCGGCTCAAGTGAAAACAAAGTTGCCCATCCTTAATTGAAAAGGGTTAGCCAAGTTTCCTCCAAATCATGATCATAATATGTCATTTTAGAGTTTAAAGCCTGGATTGCTCTTCCAAAGTGGCCAAATATTTCTATGAAACTTTAAAAAAGAAAAGTAAGTTATTTTTTTTGTTAAATGCCTGAAGGATCTCTAAGATCTTGTCTATAAAAGCTTTATCCTTGAATTGGTTTTAAAGTTGGTTTTTGAATCACCAGTTTTGAGCAGATGCTCTTTCCCCATGTGCTCTTAGCTTTCCTGCAGCTTGTTAATCTGCCTACACAAACCTGGTTCTTGGTGTTGTGTTTCTAAGCAGTTAACAAGGTTCAGCCACTTATAACCTCCCTCTTAATCCTGTTAATTCTCCAGAAGTTGAAGTGTTTAGTTTCCAAATGCGGACTTTTCTCTCCGTTTGGACCGTAGCCAAGTGAGGGGATGAAGCAGAGCTTGTGGGATTGAATAGATGGAGTGCTGTCATTAACCTTTAGATGTAATGTGTTGAGGGGTGAGGAGTATTTCGGCTGTTTTTTCTAGAGTTTGAAAGGTCACGCTGACGGCTTAAAGTCTGCTTTTCAGACAACCTTCATCAAGAGGGATGGAAAGGTGGAAGTGTTGACCTGCGCAGCCAGGAACTATACCACCGGCTCTTCTAATCCAAAGCTAGTATACCCTTGAATACTCTCGCACTGTTATGAAGTGTGCATAATTGACATTAATGAAGTCAAAGCGATGTAACTCATTTTCGCTGTAACCTTCAGGGGAGGCTCACCAACTTCCAGCAGAGAGACAACATCACCTTGTGTATTCAGGTTCTGTTTTCTGCAGCGGCGGAGAGCGACTCTGCAAAAGACGAAAGAAAAAAAAGAGAACAAAAGTCTTTCCAGGGAGAGAAAATGTGGCTACTGTTTACTCGACAGGAGAGGTAGAGAATTTGAATGAACGTGTCACTCAGGCATTTGCAAGACAGCCCTGAAACAAACTGTACAAAAACATCTTTTTTCTCTGCACAGAGAGCTGAAGGAGTAGACCTGAAATCTTGAGTCAACTGAACTGTGACTTAGTTCGACACAGTGAGGGAGAGAGAATCATCTCTAAAAGACGACATAGTCGAGTTTTACCTGGATAATTCAACAGAAAAAAGTGCACTACGTGGTGATTACGTAGAAATAAAAGTTACTAAATCCTAAAAAGTATAAAGATGTGCATCCTTTGTAATTACGAACAATAGCACAAGGTGAAAAGTGTCATCAAACTAGAGACTGAGACTATTTTCATAAACGGACATTTCAGCCTCCCCGTTTACAAAAAAAACTGCGTGCACACCACTACGTTTTCAGAAAAGTTTTCGTTTACTCTAACCCATGTATATATGCCGTCAAGAGCATGCCAAACCTGTAGGTGGCAGTGTAGTGAGAAGTTCAAGCCCACGTCTGAATCCTGCATAGCAGCAACAACGACAATCACTTCCTTCTTTCCCGCGCAGAATCTGCCGTCGGCTACCCCATTTTTTTTTTTCTCTCTGTTTAAAATCTTCACTATGGCGTTTTTAAAAAGCATTGTTTTCAGGGGCCTGAATGTTAATGTCTCTGTTTTTAAAAATGACCATACAAACGGGGTCTGAATCTAGTCTAGTACCTCCCATTGGACAGTTTTTGGGGCGTGTCTCAGGTGGAAAAATGTTCAAACTGTCAGTAAAAGTTTGATATTCCTGTCAACAAATCTGCAACGTGCAATTTCTGTGCAACCGTGAAGCTTTCTCCCATCCTACTAGCTTCCAGCAAGGTAGTGAAAGACTCTTTACCCAGGACTAATTGACACACACTAAAAACAACAAAAAAGTGCACTACTCTAGGATAACGTAGCAATGAAAATCACTTAATCCTGTTTAACTTTCAAAATACAACTATAAAAATGTTGATCCTGCGCATTTTAATTTCTAGCAATAGCATAAAGTGAAAAGTGTTATAGAACTAGTAACTGTTTTGGGGGTGTCTCAGGTGGAAAAAGGTTCAAACTGTCAGTAAAAGTTTGATATTGCTGTCAACAAAGTCCGCAATGTGCAGTTTCCGTGCAACTGTGAAGCTCTTTTAATCCATTTATTTTTCCTATCCTGTTAGCTACGATAGGTCGCTAATACGTCCTTTTTTACCCAGACTTGTCCTCTTTTTGGGGGGCTGTCCAGCCTTGTCCTGGGGAGTTTATAAAATCCTTTAAATGTCCGGGGTTTTGTATGGAAGTTTTGAGTTTGTGTAGCGTGGACTAACTGAGTTAAAAGCATGTAAAAAACACTGGACCTGACCCAAAACCCCTCAAAATTTACTATGCATGTCTTCGACCCACTTTGTCGTGTCCTCTTTGTGGCGATTCAGAATATGGTCACCCTAAGCTACTAGCATGGTAGTAAAAGACCCTCTACCCAGGACTAATCGACACACACTTGCACCATCTGCTCTGTGCGTTAAATTTAGGAGATTTGCATATCAGCGTCACCTTGTAAATATAGAAAGTACTGCTTTGTCACTATGCTTTCATTTTTTCATGCATGGTCATTGGATTCTGATGTTTTAGAAACACAGAGCAGGAAAAATCGGATTGTCACATCCCTCACAGATCAGCTTTTTGAGTCGGGCTTCTTGCAGAAGCGTGCGCTGATGAAGGGCCTCGCAGAGTGATGCAGAAATAAATAGGCGAGACCAATGGAGGGCTGTCTGCCGATTGATTTTCAGAGGCGATCCTTGTATCATCCTTGGCTCTGATATCCTATCTGCCTCCATGTCGGCCCCCTGATACCCATCTGAGATGAAAAAGCCAGACACAGTGCCGTGTAATAGTGCTTTGAACCCGGGGCACTGGGGCTTTTCAATCATACCCCAGATGGAATGAATGCCCTTGCACTCGGCCAAAAAGCGTCAGCATTATTTATCCTCTAACCACTGTCTCCTGCCTGTGGGATTGAAAAATAAATGGGCACGTTTTTGTGGTATTTCTTTAATAAGAAATCACATCAACGCAGTGTGTCAAGATGAGCGCTTTTGATGTAGCGAGGTGAACTTCCTTTTGAAGAAATCCTCAGAAGTTCACCTTCCCGGCTGTCTTTGTAGTTTCACAGGAGATATTCAGTCATTGTTCGCTGTTATTATTACATTTAGACTCGGCTCTGAACACACATTACTGCCACGCTGTTTCTGACCGCCTGTAAACGTAGCTAAACATCCGGTTTAATGTGCAGAAAATGTATTTCTCACTTAGAACTCCGCTGGATTGCCGACGATCCCACGTGACACCATGAATATTGTTTACAGTTTCTCAGGAACTATACCGTGTGTCTCTATGGGATAAAAAATGTTCCAAAGCTTACCCTTTTGGCGATCTATCAAGGGTTTCCAGTCATTTCTACACCTGCCACAAGGTTTACAGTCCAGCCACAAAAATAGGTGTTTGATCAGAGATGTTTGATGGTAAATTCGCAGTGATATACCGGTGAAAACATGATTATTTATCATATCGTTGTGATTAAAAAAAGATCACTAATGTCTTTTTCTGTCAAACTTTCGACCAATTACATGGTCTCATATTCTTCTTCTATTGTTCTCTTGACGGTAGTGTCCAATAAGAGGCAACCGAAGATCAATAAGAAACAAAAGAGTTCCCTGCTTGTCTGCAAAGTAAGAAATAATGGTCTTCAATGCTTGAAAACACACAAAGAAGAGATTATGAGCAGTCTGATGAGGCCCTCTGTCTCATCCCAGACAGGAACTGCTTCAAGGAGTGGCATAAACAACTGTAAATAGCAAAAAACGCCTGGAAGAATTAGAGTAATATGTAAATAGTTTCTGTTGTGTGTTTGGTCCAGGCCCAGTATTTCTTCTCCTGACAGCCAAGACTTGAGAGAATAATGTGCAGGTGAGAAAAGGCTTGGTCACTGTAGATTTATGTGTTTTTTGTGCACAAAACTGTTGGTATCGTCGTCATCGTCATTTTCTTCCACTTATCTGGGTCCCAGTTGCGGGGGCAGCAGCTTCAGGAGGGAAGCCCAGACGCCCCTCACCCCAGCCACTTCCACCAGCTCCTCTGGGGGGATTCCCAGGTGCTCCCAGCCAGGCGAGAGATATAGTCCCTCCACCTGGTTCTGGGCCGACCACGAGGTCTCATGTCCAGAACACCTCTAACGGGAGGCGTCCAGAAGGCGTCCTAACCAGATGCCCGAGCCACCTCAGCAGACTCCTCTCGACATGACGGAGCAGCGGTTCTACTCTGAGCGCCTCACGAGTGTCCGAGCTCCTTACCCTGTCTCTAAGGCTGAGCCTGGCTACCCTGCGAAGGAAACCCATTTCGGCCGCTTGTATCCACAATCTTGTTCTTTCGGTCATTATCCAAAGTTCATGGCCATAGGTGAGGATCAGCACGTAGATCGACCGGTAAATTGACAGTCTCGCCTTACGGCTCAGCTCTTTCTTCACCACGACTGATTGGTTAAGCGATCTGCCTGTTGATCTCCCACTCCATTCTACCTTTACTCGTGAACAAGATCCTGACATACTTGAACTCCTCCATTTGATGCAGGACCTCCCCTCCAACCTGGAGAAGGCAATCTACCTTTGTCCTACTGTTGGTATCAATGTCCGTTTTTGTTTTTTGGTTGATTTTGGTGGCTCTAAATCTACTGTCACATTCATTTTACACCATTTTTGCACCCATAAACTGACAGCTAAGGGTGTATATATTTGCTATTCTTGAAAGAATCGAGTTGCTACATCGATTTAAAAAAAAAAAAGAAAAAAAGAAAACAGGCCGACCAAAAATAGCTTCATATAGCTGTGAGTTCTGAGGGTTTACTGGAGAAACACTTATTAGGAAGTTTGACTGAGCGCCAACAAATTAAATGAACTCACGTTAGGCGTGCATTCATGGCCAACAAAATTACTTCTCAGTTAATCAGCAGAGGCCACTATAGAGGCCTCCAAATCATGGAAAGAGCAAATCATTACAGGCCTTCCTTTCACTGACTCTGTGTTTGAGTCTCTTTATTGGCCTAGATTGCAGTGCAGTCAGGGCGTGACGGTTAAGCCTCGCCTCACTCCCCACTGCAACTTTGAAGTCAGGTCAGGAAAACTTGCCCTTGTGTTTGGGCTGGAGAGCTGCAAAATATTGCTTCCCCTCCCTGTGTCTTAACTTTCCGAGACATTTGGAATCAGAGAACGCCGTAACCCCCCTGCCACCAGCCTAATGCGGGGCCATGTGGGCTGATTTTGTGGGAAATCTTTGAAATGGTAATAGGGTTGAGGGAAGCATCGTCTTTCTCTCCAACAGAGCAAAAGGAGGAGGAAGAGGCGGGGGCTTTCGGAAGCAGCGCTCGAGGTCACAGAGATGTAATGATGGGCCGGGATGAGCTGGGGTTTGCCGGAGGATTACCGTCTGTCTTGGTAGCTAGCGGGGCTCTCCAAGGCCAATGTTTCAATCCCCACAGAGCAGATTTGCTCCCACTGTCAATATGAAAACAGAAGGGCAGCATGTGTGCTAAAAAAAAAGGCCCTCGCTATGATGGGATGTGTGTGTGTGTGTGCAGAGAAATCCTTCGTCCAAGAGAAAAGCAAACAATGGACTATTTTCAGCCCTGTGGTGGTACTTAGACGATTGCATCGGCTGTGACCTGCATTCATAGCATTAGGAATAAATGTGGTTTTAACATTTGATAAATAACATCTGATAAAACCAAACTCAATCATATTCATATGTTGTTTTTGCTCTTCATCATTTTTGTCCCACAAGAGGAACGCTTTAGTGCATGAATACATTTCAATAAAAATGATAAAAACAAGAAATCCCTGCTGAAAGCAAAATTCCCTTAAACTAATAAAGTTTCTCTTTAACCAATACTTCTACAAGATGTGTTTATATACCGTGCATCTTTAAATAATAGGTTGGAATTTTCCAGAGTAACATTTTCCAACATTAATCACTTCTTTTGCATGTCGAACCGCCCACCCAAACTAGTTAATTCTCTGACCAAAACAATAAAAACCGCAATAAACTTCCACACAAAAGAGGAGCTGATTGGTTGTTTGTAGTGGGTGATTCAGTGAACTGAGAGAGAAGCGCTCCTGGACGTCCCGAGCGCTGAGGTCGACGAGGACAAACAATTACGAGAACATGTACACAGAGCGTGTTGGATTTATTGTTCTGGGGGTTTTGCAGATTCCATAAAGACACTGAAGATTGATCACACCAGAGGTTTTCGTTGAAGCGGTGCAGCTGCAACTTAAACACTACCCTCGAACGCCGACCTGAGGATACAGGTGTGGTTTCCAAATCCTCTCTGTGTCTGTCATGGATTTGAATCATCATGTCTCATTAGAGTCACTCATACAGTCGTTTCTGGGAGTCTTCGTCATACCGTAGGTTCTTCTAGGTTTCTGCTGCAGACGTTTCACCAGGAACCTCCAGCTTAAAAAAAAGAGAAACGAGTCTGTTAGACAAAAATTTAAACTAGGGCTGGAACTTGATTTAAAAAATGTATCTAATTCATCGAATTTTAATCGCATATAAATATTTGACCTGAGAACAGTGAGAATCATTTTTTAAAAATCTGGTCGAGTGTGGGTTAGGTGTGGATCGCTGTAGTCGAAGTCAGACTAATATTAGCTTCCATACTAGCTGCAACATGTTTAGCATCCAGGTGGTACTGGAGGCTCGACGTGCTGTGGTGATATGCAAATTCTTTTTTGCACAGTTTGCAAAAAAGCGGCTGCTGGAAGAGAGAGTAGGTGAGTTGTGTTTAGTCTCTTTGCTCAAGAAATTAGGCAAAGTTAAAAAGATGTTTGATGGCTAGTACTATGGCTGGGACCCTACATGTACTGTTGATGAAGTTAGGTGCTGTTCTGAGCATTATTTGTGGCTATAGAGTGGCGTTTTGGTTGAGCGTGTGGCTCTCTGTTTTGCTATCGTGCGGTTGTTACTAAAGTTGGTATAACTAGAGAAGCAAGCGGTCGGCAACATTCATCTCTCGAGGGGGTGTCTAACTCGGTGTTACAGTGTGTTTGACCCTAACTTAATTTTACGCCGGAATATCTCTTTAATCAATTCCAATTAACGTATTAAAATCCCGGCCCTAATTTAAACATCATTATGAATGCATGAAGTCTGTTTGGTTGCAGCTATTGTCGTGTTTAAAGACCAAACGTCAAATATCTCCAATTCCTTAGCAAAAAAGAACAAAAAAGTCTCTTTTCAGTCTGGATAAGTCAGCCAGTCATTTTGAGTGAAGTGGCCCTTTAAACTCTGAGACCTGAGACCTGGCATTGACAGCTCTGCCCTCCAGCTACAGACTCCCCATTTATTACTGTGAACGGACAATCTGAGAGGTAGCTGAACCTTTGACCGCCGCACGGTCTCGGCGGGATGACAAAGAGGAGATGAAGAGGTTGTCGGTTGTCTCGCCGCACCAGCAATCTTCCTCACCTCCTCTCCCTCCGCGCTCCCCCTTCAAAAATCTGGAAGCCATCACTGCTCCTTGTATCTCCCTCTGGCTAGATATGAAGTGAGCTCACATTATAAATATCTCCATTCTGTTTGATTGCCCTCCAAATAAGTCACACTGTTCAAACAAGCAGAGAACGCTGCTCCGCTGCCTCCCATTGTCTGGCTTTGAGCTATCGACGCTGCACTTGGCGATTTATTATAGGCACCTTTCCCAAGTGACCGATAAGCATTGTGATGGATGCATGATTTGACTGTGCCAAAATGGCTTTATCTCTCCCCTCCAAGCTACTATCTCCAGCCGGCTGATGAGCTGTGCAAACTCTCCCTCTCTCCTTTTTTCTCCCTTTTTTCATATGGAAACCGCTGAGAGTTCTATCCTCCAAAGAGCCCAACCCACCACAAACAAATGTCTTCTATTATTTAGTGATTTAGTTATCCATGCACTTTGTGGGTTCCTCCAACTCTTCCCATTTAACTTGTGCATGCTAATGTGTGTTTTCGCACGTCGGTGTAAATGACATATGCATTTGCCCACGTGCGGAATTCACAGCGTCTGAGCCGAGCTGAAAGCAGATTCTCCCTGATGCTGTTTTGCATTGTTGTTTTGCTCTCTGGGCGCAATATCCAGCTATTTAGCAACCCGACTATCAATCATTGCAATTGTTGCTGGCAAACTTCAAAGCACATTCGACTTGCTGCTCATTTTCTTTCTATTAGTAACACTCAAGTGGATAGAAATACAAAGGAGAAGAAATTACAGAGGATGGTGCGCCGTTGTGTGTGTGTGTGCTTTCTTGTGGAGTGTGGGTACGAAGATGGAAATTAGCAGCAGAGTGACAAGAAACATCTCAAGCTAAAAGGTAGAACGTGATGTATTTTCCACTCTGCTTGATGATGTTAATTTGGTTTTGTTCTTTTTTGTTTGTTTGTTTGAGTACATGGCTGTCTGTCATTGTTTGGTATGAACTCATATTATCTTTGCCTCTGTGCTCTGACAAACACTGGCTGAGCTAAGTTGGAGTAATGAGTTTTATCACTGAGCGATTACGTTTTTCCCTTTCACTCAAATACAAAACTGTGCACAAGACTGCCTCATGAAGATTGCTTCAGTGATATTTTGGAGTAAAACTATTAAACTCAGATTCTGCTGAAAGGCTTCGGGCTCTATCGTACACGGGGGCGCGAAGCGTGCAGCTCTCGGGTCATTATTTTCCACTGAATTCACACCCAGACTTAAACTGAGGTGGTAATAATGTCGGTGTATTGAGTCCAGAGTCAGAGGGAGAATCAGTGAGGACATCATCTCAGCCAAACACCGCAAACAGAGGCTGTCACCATCATGAGCACTCTCTTTGAAGTGCACGCTCTTAAAGACCCACTCAGACCCGTGTTTTTCTTGTTGTCTACATGTTCGGATTGCATTTTTCTGATGCTACAGGACCAGTGCTGGGCGATAAAACCATAAAAAATACATACTCAAAATTAATTTCCCTCAGTATCGATATAAAACATGGTCGATATGCTTTTTCGATAGTCCGCATCAAAAAGGAGAAAAGGGCGTTCTCCAGGATTTAGCTAGGCTTAGAGCGGCAAGGTGTACGGATACAGATGTCCAGTTTAGTGGTGGATTTATTGACTGTGGTTCGGCAGATAAAGATGCAAAGCAACAATCACTACAGCTTACTCTGTACATAACATGAACATCAAGTAGCGTGAGATAGCATTAGCTATATTCATGGTAAACAATACATTCACACAATATAGCATTGGACTTTGACAGTAAAACATCATAAAACTCACTTTTGGCATTTACACTCAATAAACCCGTGATGTGAAGGTGAAAAAAACAGGTAGGAGGAAATTAACGAACTATCCAGGAGGAAAACTAAACTTTCACAGCTGTTGTATCTCACACACAGGTGCGGTGCGTTCAATCGCGTTGGAACACCTTTGGTGCGTTCAAGAGCATAGGAGAAATGAAAACTCACCGTCAAACACAATATAACTGAACGGTATCGCAAAAGCAACGGTTACAAACCCCGAGTGGAGTAAGGAGCCCATGGCGCCTGTGCAGCCGAAACAGCCGACCGTTCAGTCCGCTTTCTCTAGCGCAACGCCTTAAAACAAAACGTCAGAGTCACAAAGACGTCACAGATGCAGTAGCTCATTGTATTGCAAAAGACATGCTCCCCATAAGCACTGTTTTATTTTATTTTTTAATATTGTGATATATATTGATATCGACTGATATGAAAAAAAGATGTCATGATAAACTTTTTCCCATATCGCCCAGCCCGATACAGGATGTATGATGAAAAAAATAAGGGCAAAATTGTATTTCTCAGTGTTTCTGTATTTAAATCTAGAGAATCTTTAGATTTCCTATGTAGCAAATCCAAGCCCCGCCCCCAGTGCCCAGCTGTGCAGGCCAGACTCGGAGAAGTAGAGAGGACGATCGTGGAACAAGTATGTGCGTTAGCGGATTGCAATACTTGTAAGAATTTAATTATGATGTTAGTTTTCTTCATGTCCCCAAAGACATTTTTATCCAGGAGCTGATTAGCTCTGATGTTACCTGCTACCTTTACTACACTGGCAATGTTAGGCTGCGAGCTAGCGTGAAGAGCAGCGCTGTCTCCGCCCACGACTCAGAGGCGAATTGCTAATGAGCTACTGGAGCTCTGCAGAAGAAAAGTCCTTGAAAATGACACAGGTGACGTGAATTTGACTAAAAACTTCATATTCACAACTTAAAGTCCACTGAGGACACTTTAAATAGTAAAATAAATGATCCGAGTGGGACTTTAAACAATCAGGGGTATCTTTTACAGTCCTGAACCTATCAGTGCTTCAAACCATCATATCTTCATTTATTAACAAAGGGTTCACAGTATCCTTATTGCATGCAGCACAGATTAGAGCCCGCTGCAAGATAAGTGCCAAAACTAATCCCCTATACTTTTCTTTAATATCAAGAGTAAGAAAAGTTAGTTATCGCTGGATCCTGTCTGTTAATTTAGGAAGCTTCTTTCATCTCTGCCATGCAAGAAGTGAATTTTAGGTTGCAGGACATGCCATTTAAAGCCCAGAGAAGATAGTGTGCGTTTTGCAATAAGGCACAATAAGTGACAGTCACTTACACAGTGATGAAGGTACGAACATTTGATGCAGGAATTTTACTTGAAGGCTAAAAAAGAGTCCTCGGTTATGATAGCAGCTTCCTGCAATGTGATTATTGTGTAGTTGTTTAAACAATATCGTCCTCAGTTTATCATGAGAAAATCATCTAAAACAGGTGAAATCTCTGCAGAAGAGCTACTGGGCTTTATTCAATTTGATTTCAAGTCGGTGCAGACAGAGCGCTGGCAGAGCAGAGACTTAGCCCTTAGAATGTGGAGAGAAAAATAGATCCATACTTTTGATTAATCTTTTAGACCTTCCAACAAGACACCTCACAGTCACTCCAAACACAGGCTCTGGTTTGAGGCCTGCCTAGTCAGCCTGTGCAGTAATCAATCCATCCTTGTGTTTATAGTGAGTGTGTGCAGACACCTGTGCACAATGCAATCAGCCCTGTGTTTATTTGTCTTTGGCAGAAATGCCTCCCAGCATGGAGACACAAACAGTCCAGATACGCAGCATCACTCACCTCGTCTGCTGTCCTCTTCTTCCTCTCCGCGGTATTAAGTATCGCTCACTGCTACTCCAACACTGTCAAACTCAATTTCAAAGTTTTTCATCTGCCAAATCCAGCTGCATTTTCCGGCTCACATTCGTGATCACGCTGCGGTCGGGAAACAGAGCCAGGAAGAAGTCAGCGTGATTGGTGCATCTCAATGAGCCGGGGTAGCATTTCAGAGTCAGCTATCATTCTCGGAAAACACCCGCCACGGCCCGGTTCTGGCTGCTGTTCTACAAAGGAAAGTCAATAAAACTCTTAATTAAAAGAACCTGACCTAAAAACACCGAATACTTTCAGTTACTGACATATTTACTGTGATTTAACTCTGAATTACATGTTGTTTTTTTTCTTTTCTGGGGGAATCTAATTTCCTGTCATCGTGTATTAGTGACTAAAGAGAGGTCAAGCTTAACAAAGTGTTTCCCCAACACACTGGGAGCGATATCCTGTCAATGCAATAACTGCTCTTGCATTCTGCCACCGCTGGGAAACATAACGGATTTGCCGGGGACGCTAATCAAAGCAAGCTGAGCACGAGGAGTGTGCGTGTGTAATTTACGACATGTTAAATCTGGCTGTCTTACTTCCCCTTAATGCATTTCCCTGCATCTCCACCCTGATATAAATTTCATTTAAGCAGAACAGCGCAGCTTGGCCCATGGATTTCTAACCATGGGAAACAGTGTTATTGTAATGATAAGAATGCTCCAGGCAACTTAGTCCATACATTATTTTTTTTTTTTACTCCTCCTGCTTGGTGTTTGTTTACCTTGGAGATGAACCCGCTGAGTCCCCCTCTGGCCCGGGGGCTGAGCCTTCCCTTCTTGTGGAAAGAGATGTGTTTTCTAAATACAGAAGGAAAGAGCGAGACAGAGTCAGTTTACCTTTAGTTAATCTGTTCTATTGTTGGCGCCCACTCTTCCGTAGCGTCGATCCTTTGCTTTGTGTGTCCATGTTTTGATTCTGTACGCCGCTGCCAATGGTCATTACGGTAATGCGTGCCAAAATGGATGCACATGCCTCATTACAACTGTTGAAATCAATATTTTAAATATGCTGTTTATCCAACCGATGAAACAACTCACCACATTATAAAGCATGATTACATCGCAGTTAACGACTCTAAAACAATGAGGGTTTGATTTTACTGTTACTTAACTAAATAAGAGTGAGTCCAGTGAGTGAGACGCTTGGCTGCTTTTTTGGTTTGCATTGATCCTGTTGTAAATACTCTCACATACCTTCCTTTCAACACTCTCATTAAAACTATCCTTAGTTGTAAAGTAGTGACATTAAAAGAGAAAAGAGCTCACAGTGAGGGAGTGAGTTATTCTATTTTCTTTGGTAGCCTTCGAACATGTAATAGCAGGATTCTCATAGTGGGATCCAATTTTTGTTTGAGTGCAGTCTCCTGTATTTTACTGAAACCTGGTTGAATCAAAACAACTCAGACTCCAGTGTGGATCTACCTAGCTTCACTCATATTAGGTCAGATAGAAATGCTAAAGCTAAAGTTGGTGCTAAATCTAATGAAAGATGGTGTAATGCTGCATTTCGGTTACCTCTGGAAGTCTATTGTCGGAGCTGGGAATGACATTGGTGTTTGTTATGTTGAAAGCGTTCCAGTAAACAAGTCGGAAAACCAAGATGGACGCCTATTGTCAGCTGTTGTTAGCTGTTGCTAGCGGTTGTCAGCTGTTGTTCGCCGTTGTTAGCTGTACCAGTTGTAAACAACGCTGTTACTCTTTACTGTTGATGCACTGTGATGCCATCTTGGATTATGACATTGTCGTCAAGTCGGGGTTGGTGAGGATCGTCCAACTTTCCAAGTTGGAAATCCGAATTATGATGTTATGATGTTGTCATCGAGTCGGGGTTGGTGAGGATCGTCTGACTTTCCTGAGTCGGAAATCCGACTTCAGGGGGGCATTCCAGATGAATTTGCGACTCGGAGCTCAGAAATCCCGACTTCCGAGTACAACTGGAACGCAGCATAACTCAGTTGCTTTTTAGCCATATTGTGCTCTGAGCTAGCCTGTCAATACTTGTATTCATCCCACCTATGGCAACAGCCGAAGTTCCGTGCGATGTTCTCTATGATGCAGTTGGTGGGACACGGTGGAGGGATGCGCACTGAGGAAAACAGAGAGAGATTCAGAAGATTTTTGTACCTGCAGCCATCAAACTTCTTAATTCTTCTATAAATAGAAGACGAGATGAGAAGTTCTTGTGTTGTATTATTAGTATCATATATATTCAGGAGACGTACAGGCATAATAAACTCAGAGTTGCCCAAGTACTATGATTTTGGTGCAGAACCTTTCAGAGTATCTTGACGTTAAGGAGTGAGGGCATTCAAGACTCATTGTACGCAACTCTAATTGTTTGAATATCTCCATATTTCATTTTGAATCTGAGTAAATTACTAACAATATATACTACATGTCTTTCAGTTTGGTCCATGGGATGCAGCCACAACCACGGGGAAGACTATTGACTTGACAGTCATCCAGATGATGATAATTGATACCGTCCACAAGGTGAGTGAGACACAAAAGGCTGGAAGCATATTGATGAAGAGTAGACATCGGGGGTGACCACACCCTTGGAAAAAAAGCTGATTCAAGAACTTTCTAGAGTTGACAAGCTGTATTTGGAGGTGCAGAATTCCTCTTTCAGGATTTAGCACCATCCTGCGGCACGAAAACGACTACGAAACAGTTTGCAGACCATAATTTGACTATGTGTGATTAGCTTATAATCTCACTCAAAGGGAATCAGCATGAGGAACACCTGACCCAAAAATCCATAGGAGCTCATGGCCCCTATCAGAGCAACACCTCAGCAGTGCCACAGCTGATCAACTCCATACTGAGTATTTCCTCATAAAGTTGAAAAATGATTATTTATTGAATAAGTTTACAAAAAGCTCTTTCCATCACTCATTATGATGGAAACACTTAAGAAAATGAAAACTTCTCAGGGCGTACACCTCTCAAGGTTTAATGAAAAATTTGTGGCTGACACTTAGAGATGAGATTTTACACAACAGTGCCTCAGGACGGCAGATTTATATTTACACAGCTTTTCTCAAAGTCGGTTTCGGAATAAGAGTTTCACAATAACTCTCTGCTCCAGATGACTACAGCGGTTTAAGTGAGGGATTAGACAAGAACAAGATGGATGTGTCATCTTAAAGTAACTGTGAGGAGATTTTATACCGGTTAAGAAACAGACTGAAACTGATACTGATACGTATTTATGACTCACAAAAGCAAATGAAACCATCAGCGACATGACGAATGGTTTCTCTGTCGAGACTTTTGAAGTCTGAAACCGCTGTGAAGAGGGTAGGAGTTAGAGCAGATGATTGGCAATGGCAGATTCTTACCAAAATTGATACCTCTTACTGTTTTTTGTCTGAAAATACAGATTTCACATGCATCAGACAGTATCACTTTGTCCACAGGGGGCGCCAGAGCCAACACAAACCACATGTTCTCTCATAGGGCCTTTAAAACACTTAATAAGGAAATAATACTTTCTTAAAAACCCTCAATAGGAATAACTAGATTTCTTTATTGATTCTTAATAGCTTTAATAACTTATAATCATATAAATAAGTAAATTTAAAGAAATGTTTATTTATTAAAAATAAATAAATATTAGAAAAAGAAATCAGAAAAATAAAAATTATAAAAATTTAAAAAATAATACTTTTTCTTTACTAATTATTAATAATAAAATAAATAAATAAAAACAAGTGTTTATTTGTTAAAAAATAAATCAACATTTTAATAGGAAATAGAAATAATGATGTAAAAAAATGAAAATAAATAAATAATAATAATAACAAATAAATAAATGAATAAATAAAATATTTTATACGAAATACAATAATTAAAACAATAAAAATTTAATAACTAATAATAATTCTTTACAAACCTTATTTATTTATTCCCTTTGGTGATAAATAAATAAAGCTACTCTTAAATAACATTAGTGCCTTTGCTTATATTGACATCTATTCCACAAATACCTACCTGCAGATGTCCAAATATGGGGAGTAACATCTCTCAGATGAACAGGGAGCTGTGTGAGGTGATGCGTGTGTCCACATACTCCGTGCACACAGTATTGATATTGCTTTTTGTGAGTAAACGTGTGGTTGTAAATGCTGCTTGGACTGTGAGATAAACAGGACATGCTCCAAGGAGTGGGCCGATGGCCAGTGGACACAGCTGAAGAGGCAGCTGTGAGGAGGAGGAGGAGAGGTGGAAGGTTGGGGGGAAGGGGGAGGAAGGAGACAGAGAAGGAGGGATGGGAGGTGAGTTACACGCTGCGGAGGGCAAAGTGCCCTGACAGCCACAAGAGTCACAGAGTGGGACCTCTCCCGGTTTGACAGATGGACAGACAGGGCTGCGCCCCACTGGCAGGCTACGGCTCTTGATGCAAGAGTTGGCGCACACACACACACACACACACACATTGACGTTTGCTCAGGGAACGTACGCACAAACATCTATCTAAAGCCCAGCCACATCGAAAAAAATCAGGAATGCAATACGGAGGAGAGAAACAAAACAAACAAGGACAAAGTTGAATCTCTTCCTTCAAGAAATTAACACTTAAAAATGTACCCTTCTGCTTTGTTTGACTTCAGCGCCGAGCCTTTGCAGAGAAAACAGAGAGGGCTGTCCGAGGCCATTTGTCAGGGGGAATAAAGCTAAATCAAATCCAAAGATTTTATTCCTTCGATTTAAGACAGGGCCCGAAACCGCAGGGAGGTACCGGGCATCGACTTGTGTGTAGATCAGCTAGCCTTTGCTTTTCTCTCCACGTGGGACACAGAGGACAGTATTGGCCGAGATGTGAGACGTGCAATGAAGCATGTGGGGGTGCAGAGGTGGGGGGGAGAATTCAATCAGAGTTGACCATCTGCCAGATCGCTTGTAATGCCAAAGGTGTTATTCCTCTGTGAGATATCCTCAGCGCGGCGCATGAAGCAAGAGTCTGGCAAAGTCAAAGTCAGGAAGCATGACAGTACAATTTAAAAAATTTAATACACCTTTCTGGGATTTTATTGTTTGGTTATGTTGAATTTATATCTTAAGAAAAAAAAAAAGCAATGCACTGAGTATGTCCTCTTCTACTCTCAAAGACCAAAGCATGAATTATAAAGTTTATGTTTCTGAGCTCTTCAAATGAGTCCTAGTCCTCACAAGATAAACTTAGTGGGGATCTAAAATGAAATCTTAGAGAGGAGAAATTGATTTTTTCCGATACCTGGTGGTGAGATTGTAGATCAAAACGCTCCCCTGCTACTTCATTATTGTGGCACCTTGATGTCAAATCTGCTGCATGTGAATTCAACTGCGAGGCCGCCTCAAGAGATGATAATACGGTTATAAAATAATATGAATTCCCTTTTTTTTACCACAAATACCATCACCCGGGAAACAAGAGAGAGAAGGCGGCGGAAAAGAGGTGAGGGGCTGGCATAATGACATAACCACCGATTGTGCTTAATTGTTGGGTTATTTATAAAAGCGTCAGGAGTCAGAATGAAGCGAGAGGGAGTGAAAGAAAGGAATAATTTCCAGGTCTTTCCATCGCTCGCTCATGTTAGATTAATGCTGAAATCTTAGTAAATAATACAACAAAGAGCGCGGTCTAAACCTGCCTCTGTTATAAATTCAGTGCTCTGTAATTAACAGCAGACGGACTGATGATTGAACTAAAAGATATTAATGACTTTTAGATTCCAGATGCACTTTACAACTTTTTAAATTATAGATAAACATTTCTAAATCCTTTTAAGTTCGTGTTTTAGCGAACGCCGCTGTCTGATAACTTGAATACTGATATTTTGACATCCCCATGCCAAGGCCACACTACATAATCTTTTATCCATTGCCAAGGTTACTGTGCAACGACATACATGACAGACTACCTGGCAGTACCTGACCAGTAATCATGACCAGTGCTGGGAATGCTTAATGCCACTTTCTCGCCGTTTTGGACTTTTTCTCGCCAACCTTTTCTATTTTTAAGTCCCCCATAGTCCTTTGAAGGCACATCATAAAGACTGGGATATTGTTCTCCGAGCTCCACAAATTCTCCTTTCTCTCAAAGTTCGGTCTCACAGCATCAACTTCATGAGTCTTCCTCTCACTTTAACAGTTTGTTTTTTTTCTGCGCTCATGACTCGCTCTGTGCGCATGCCGGTCATTGTTACTGACGAGAGGGAACACATCATAAAAGACAGAGAGAGAGAAATGGAATGTGCTTGAATGTGTTTCTGTTGTTACTCTGAAGTGGAGCAGGTATATGTCTCAGGAAATGGATTCACAGCGACGTTTCAGGCCCTGATGCAAGGAGGCTTCAGAAAAAGATCAATAAGTGCAAAGAGCAAGCCCTGCAACAGGTGTGCATGTGTGTGTGTGTGCGTGTGTGTGTGTGTGTGTGTGTGTGTGTGTGTGTGTGTGTGTGTGTGTGTGTGTGTGTGTGTGCGCGCGCGCGCGCGCGTGTGTGTGTGTAGGTGGGTGAGGGATAAACACAAGTGTCCAGAGAGGATGTTGTGCAGCTGCAGAGCATGTGTTATTGTTGGGTTGTGCGGACAGTTGGAGTGGCTTTACTGAAACTGAGAAAAATGCTTTTCAAGTGTTTGGACCGGACAGACTAATATGTTATGTTGGATCCATGTGAAACTATGTATTTCTAGTCTTTTCCTGAAGGAATTGAAAGACAAAAAATAAATAAATAAAAAAACCTTAAAGTGGCCTATGACCCCAAAAATGCAGAGACTGGAAAGACAAAGTACAGTGGCTAAAGTGTAAATGTGTTAGATTCTGTCTCTTCTTTTTCTATTAAATTAAAACCAATAAATAATAGTTGTTAAGCTCTGTTTTTTTTTCATTTTACTTAAGACAGATAGATAAAATAAAAAAGTTTCAGCAAATTTTTGCCATTGAATTAACCCCCCACCTCTTTAAAGTGCATTTTTACACTGATAATGATTAAAGATACTTTTTGATAAAAAAAAAAGATATATAACGCCAAAAAAAGTAAATCATAAAATAGAAATAATACTTTAAAAAAATAATAAAAATAGTGATAATAATAAAACTAATACTGCTACTGTAACTAATAATAAAAACGATCATTTAATAACAACAATAAAAATAAATTTCTTATAACACCCAACCCTAACCCAAACCCTAATTACATCAATTGAATTATTGCTAATACTTATATACTACACTACTACCACTACTACTACTATTACTACTCCTAATAAGAATAATATTAGATCATTTTATTTATACTTCTACGGTTATCATTATTATTTTTTTTCATTATTTTTATTGTTATTATTGTAAGAAAGAAAAATGTTAATAATGTTAATAGTAAACATTAGAAATAATGTTAAATATAAGTGCATTTAAAATGGTGGATGATACTTAATTTATTATCAATATAATGAAACTAATAATTGACAATATTTTGATAACAATCAGAAAATGTAGAGGCCACAGAACATCTCACACAGAACATTCAGAGGTTTTAGCATCAACTTCCATTAATATTGAACATAAACATATTCACCGTTATTTAAGTACATATCTTTGTTAACAGATGAATGTATTTCAGAGTTAAACTAGTGATGGATTGTGCCCACCTGCAACAGAAACAAGCATGTTTTAGAAATTAAGGGTTAAAAACAGTTAAAGGGTGAAGAACCTTGGAAACAGTTGAAGTAACATATGGAGGGAGAAAGTTCATGCAGATATAGGAGGCTGACGGATGTCTTTTTAACCCAGGATATCAGATTTACTTTCCTATATGTACCCAAAAGTCACTGTTGATTCATTGTTTAAACTCTAAACTATAATCTCTGTACGGTAAAAGATACCGAGGTAATTGACTGAAAGAGCCAGGTGTGGTCATAGTCATAGTTTTCAAGACACCCTACATACATACTGTTCATGGAAGCAGCTGTGAAAACCAGTAAAGCCACTGTTCAGAGCAAAGCTATCATGAAGCTCTTTCCTCCTCTCCACCAAACAGCTGAGAGAGCTGCAGAGAGAGAAAGAGAGAGAGAGAGAAAGAGAGGCTGAAAGAATAGGAGATGAGAAAGGAGGTGGAGTAGGAGGAGAAGTAGGAAAAAGGAGGAGCGGGGTGATACCATTTAAATTGATTCCACGACCTGCGGGCCCTGCATCCTGTCACGCTTTCTTGCAGCTCCGCTCCTTTGCCATTCCCATCCAGGGAGCACATCTGAGAAGACCTGCAGCTCTTTTCCTTCCATTTTCTCTCCAAGGAAAGGTATTTTCATCCCTGGGTATTTCACAGCTCCTCCATGGCCACCCCCCAACCTCATTCTCTTATCTCCCACACTGTCACAACCATTCAGCTCCTGTAGGCTTCAGCAGACAGCCTGAGCTTACTGTGTTTTTTTCACAGAAAAACTCTGATTTTTCACTTCTCTCCCACCATATTTCCTTTTAATGCCTCCATCTCTCTCCCCAGCCACCTCGGCATGAATTCCCTTCACATTTCCAGTTCCTTCTCTAACTTTGTCCCCGTCTTAATGACTTCCCTTCACATCTCTCCCCTTCTATCTTTGTTCCTCTCCTTGCCACGTGTTCTCTCTCCTTCTCTCTCTCTTTTCCTCTCTGCCTCTGACTTGAGTGCCATTTGATGAGACCTGGATTGAGAGCGGTGGAGTATCGGTGCCGTGCAGCAGTGCACCCAAGAGAGGATGTCAGAGGAAGAGACAGGCCCTCTTCACATTAAATATCATCTGACACCTAATCTGCCGCACCTTCTGCCTCTGATGAGAGGTGGAGGATGGGAGTGCTCTCTGTACTCCAGGAAATAACCCCAATTTTTCGCTCTTTCGTTCATGCGGTGGAGTAATTAATACATCAAGGAAAAAGCTAGGAGCAAAGAAACGGGGAGGAAATTGGAACAGACTTTCAAAAAGCGCCCACTTTCACCCAGAAACCAACCGGGGGGCGCAACCACGTCAGAGACAACAACTTAAAACCTTTGTCTTCCTCTCGGTGTGGTCAGACAGGCCAGTATCTATCACTAAATTGTCACAAGTCTGCATCCGATCAATACATCACATGCTTGATTTTGCAGCCAGATCATAGGTGTGCGGTGAGGATGCAGGACTTGGCGGAGGGACCGGCCTTTTTATGATTCAACAAAGGCTCCGAGCTGTGCTGATGCGGTTGCAAATTGAAAGATGAATGAGAGCCGACAAGTATCCCGGGGAAATCAATCCCATAGAATAGGCCTCCGATATGGAAATCCAGAGGAGATGATCACCTGGAAATGGTCGGAGCTCGCCTGGTTTTTCATTATTTCGAGATAATGAATTAGATTGTCCTGTGGGGTTCACAACCTGCAGCTTTTCAACCAGAAAACAATGAAATCCTAATGTTTATTAATGTAGTTTAATTTTTTAAAATGACGTTCTCACTTTTTTTTTGTTATTGTGGTTATTTTCTGATTTCGTTTTTCCACAAATTTAAAGCAACATAAGCTGAAAAACTACGATCAAACCCCAACCACTGTTTCTCCACATTACCTCTGAGCCGTTTACTCCCAAACCACTTACAATATCAACTGTAGTAATAAGTAACATACCGGTCAAAGCGGAGTGGAAGAATACATCATTTAATCATTGCAGTTGTGTTGTGCACATGCCTGAAATACATCACGCTGTCACCACTAAAGGGACCGTCAGCCTGAAACCGGTCTAATGCAGACCCACATGCCTGCAGAATGCAAACATGCACGGTAGTTGTAGAAAACTAACCCCCAATTTTTCACCGCATCCGTCCGCCGGATGTGTTTGTGAAACGAATTTTGTGGCGGATTTCGGACAGCGGGAATCGCAAGAACTCACAAGAACCCGCGGATTCACGTGCAATCGCGCGATAACAAGTTGTCTCTACAAAGACAGCCACAAAACCATACAAGCAGTAGATTGTGTCCTTCCAGAGGAGGAAATCTACTTCTAGACTTCTAGAATCAGCATCTCCTCATTCATGGTGTCATCGGGGTGAAATGCTGTCTTAAAACCTTCGACTTGTTCGTCCCCGCCTGTTTGCATGGTGTGAAATATGATCCCACTGAAACACGTTTGATTGGTGGTATTAGCTTAGAGGATAGTTCATTTTCAGATGGTTTGAAAATACATGCAGCTGCTGGTACTTTCAAAGTTTTCATTTTGGCACAGGTGTAGTAAGCAGGAGGTTTAATATGATTATCATCACAGTGAGGTTCTGGTGAAGTATTTTGTAAAATCTATTTTCTCTCTGGTTGAGAATCCGCCTGTGCAGCAGCTCCAGAGCGTCCAATGGAGATTGTCATTTTGCTTCTTTCTTTTTGCCCTCCAGGCTTCCATACTGCTGATAAAAAATGATAAATCAGTTCAGTTCTGTCCAGCTTGTCGGGCTGTCCACGACCAAGTCTTGGCTCCAGCGTGGGCTGCACTCGGGTCATCGCGGTTGGCGTTGCAGGATTGTTTGACAACTGGCTTTGTGAAAGGGTGATGTTTGGGCCAGGTTTTACTTCCTGCACAAAGACATCGACCCACCACAGATTTTTTTTAACCTTTACCTCAAGGAGAGAAAAATAATCTTGGTATTTCCAAGACAGAAATCTCACACCTGAATGATCATCGGTTACTGTGTGTGTCCTTTCTCTTAGGCTGCTTTCCTCCTGCTGCTGTGCCGGTGAAGGTGTAACCTCACTGCCAAGTTGGAGGATCAATCTCTAATGATTGATGAGTCCTTTCTTTTCCTTTAATATCAGTGCATCTCTATGGGATTCAATAACAGAGAAAAACACAGTGTGAAGTCCTGTAAAATGTAAACAAGGACGCCACACTGTTATGTCACGCCAACCCCAGCAGGAAGCTCCTGGCATAACCCACAAATATACCCAGCAAATATAAGGTCTAATATCAACAGCACCTCACACGGGGCAGTTAATGCTTTGGAGGAACAAACCGAGCGTGGATGGAACGGATGTCCCGCAGAGTTTTCACTTTCAGAGGTGTTCACACCTGCAGCACACATGGTGTGAGTCAGAGTCTGTACTTCCCTGTCAGAGGGCTCGATCCAGCAGCGACAGACTGAGGGATTCAAACATAAAGTCTGACTCAATCTTTCCTGAGGTCCAGACCTACAGTGTCCATACACTGCAAAGGGAAAAATATTAGGTGTGGGGGCATTCTGCGTAAAAAATGAGCATCCCAAATGATCAGCAGTTACCGTAATTCCCAGACTATTGGGTGCACCTGAATATAAGCCACAAGCACTAAATTAAAAAAGAAAACGTACATGTATAGGCCACTCTTTTCTGAGCCGCAGGTGTAGATTTAATCCGATCAGTGCCTGTAACACATCAGTAAAATGACAGTAGAACGACCTCCATCACCTCTTATCGTCTTTTTGCGTCTCACCATCGATTAATTAATGCCATGCTTACGTGCAGCAGCTCTATCTCGACTTAAAAGCTGCATCATCTGCAGTTCTTCATGTATTTTCAATGATGAGGGTGAGGGCATGAAGCGCAAAACGATCAAACTAGAGTTTTCCTCGGCGCTTCCTGCTAGAGCGCACCCTGGAGGCACATGGCTGTAAAAAACTATAAATTAGCCGCATCATCATAGACTGTATATACTATAGAAAACTTGACTCCGCCTTCTGTCATTATACGAATTTGAAACCGAATTGCTTTTGGTATTTTTGGGGATTTTCTCCACTTCCTGGAACCACTACTTGCGCAGTAGCGTTGTACGCATTTGGCGGGAGAGTCGGTGTGATGATGCTCGGTTCAAACTGTCAGTACGTTTACATGACATTCAAGAAAACAAAATCATTGCCTTATTCCGATTAAGACTGGACATCTGAAGTGCATGTAAACACGAGTACTCCGATTAAGACCCCCGGATAATGTGATTGGATTTCTATTTTCTCTACCATGTAGTCGGAGTATGCTCAGACAATACATGTGCGTGTGCGCCACGTCCCCATAACTCCGGAACAAAAACACCAGAGAAGAGGAGTGGCGTGCATCTCATCCGCCAAAAGTAGCGCGTACATCATGTACGACAAAAAAAACTCTGTACGATGCTCCATCTTCTTGCTTGAAGATGCCCAGCAGCAGTTGTAGACACTTTTGACGTCTGGCACGGACCTGCGGTTGTTGTTGGGTCGACCAGAAATGGCACTGCTAAAAAGACCCATATCGCCCCCTAGTTTTGGCGAGGAGGTCACGTTCACGTCGATAATTCAATTTTCTCAGCTGCAGAGGTACACCAATAGTATGCAGTATGAGAATAAAAACAACCAAGTAATATATTGAAGTAACCCAGATATTTTACTCCAGTCTTTACTTTCTGCTCAGCAAATAGATCAGAAGCATCTGTTCAGAAGTATCTCAAAGATGTCCTCTTTTTTAGAGGAATGTTGCAGAAATTTTTCCGACCACCTTGAAAATAAAAGTCTGTACTTCAATAACATAGCTGCAAGTGAGGACACATAATCAGAATAGTTGGTTATACTTTGGTGTTAATTCATGTGTTATTTCAGGGTTAAAGCTGCACAGCTGCTCATCCTCATGTTTAACTCTGCTCAGTCATTTGAAGCAGAGTTGTGTTTCAGTGCCCTGTTTCTAGTTTGGTGGTGCAGCTTGTTCTTGTTACCAAAATGGGCTAAAATCACAGAGCAAACACATGTCAACACAGTTTTAATGAAGGCTTCAGCTGTAAGAAAAATAATAGAATATTCCCCAACAGCCACGGCCAGGAAATGTTATGAAGACATCCTTTGTTTCTAATTGCGGCCAAGTCTGGTCTCCCTCTCTGCCAGCAGGGATTGATGTGTCTCGACAGGCGAGATGTACGCCTCCACCAGCACTCAGTGGGGTTGCCAACCAGCCATCCACCCAGTCAGCCAGGTCCCCCAAACCCCCGGGAGGCTACAAGACCTAGAAGACGTTAGTGTCTGTGAGTTCATAAGAGTGAGACCCAGCCTCTTTCTCAGCCATTTGTTTCTGCCACTTTGGCACTAAGAGAATTGCTTTCAATCTCTTGGAGGGAGTCTGGCATTCCTGCATCCCATCCATCACAATTCCTCTCTCCAGTGGATGGACCACTTCCACGCCTGCCTGTCTGCTTGTCTGCCGCTTTCATCGGCTGGATACTGCCTCCCTGCACTACAGTCATCTCCCAGTGACTGCTGCAATTACCCTCTGCCCAGGCATACATCACCGCGGACACTGGTGGACATTTCTTTCCTCTTTTGTTCTGGCACTACAGGAATTAACTGTGATGGCCGGTGGCGAGTAAACGCTCTCTTGTTGCACAGCGCTCGACCTCCTGAGAGTGTACCGAGAAGTGAACTTCGATTTGTGACCAAGCCGTGAACTCATCAGACTTTGAAGGAGAACTAGTTTTTTGAGTGAAAACATTTTCGGTGTCTGGATTTGCAAGCGCTCCTTAAAGCTTGAGTGTGATGAAAAATGAATCCTAGCTTTCCTCTTTTAGCTTCGATCTATCAAGGAGAGACTCGGAGGCACGCTAAGATGTAACGGCATATATGCACACAGCAATTGAAGACGTACGGCATGACAAACGACAGAGTATGACGTCCCAAATGGCACATGAATTCGCTGAAAGGGAGTACCACACCGCCTGGATTCTTAATGACGATGCAGCTTTTTGTACGGGTGACGTACACGAACGAACGAGCGAGCGAGCGGCTGTGTGGGATATCGATTGTCTGCGGGGAAGAAATGAACTCAATTTGGAAGGCAATGGCATGAGCCGGAGCCGCGGTGGCCTCACATAAGCTGCACGTTAAGCAGGAAGATGGTGCTTTTATTGGAAATCCCAAGAGGGACAACAACCCTCGACTACAATAATCGCTTCCATGGACATCCCTGACCTTTGACCTCTTTGTAGAGAGGGGGGAAAGCTACAAGAGGAGGATAAAATACATCTCTGAGAGGGCCACACTTGGACTCTCTCCTTGCTAAAGGTTAAACTCCTACCTACAGTCACTCATTGTGGAGGTACACGTGTGGACTGGCTAATGTGTGTGTAGGAGTGAGACGGAGTATACGAGGAGAGGGAGTTCTTGGCAAGTGTCGAAAGCAGTTAAATCATCGCACATAGGGCCAAAGTGGCACTTATAGCATATAAACGTCACTGGGAATGAGTCTGTCGTGGGAGCGGGTATAATATGCAAGCATAGGCTTCAACGTAGGTAGGTGTGTGCGCGCTTTAGTGGGGGAGCAAAGTCAGAAAGATGACTCAGTCAAGTTTCAACATCTTTTGAAAATATCAAAGCTTGACCTCGCTTATGATGTCTTTTATTTATCCATGCATTCACTCCCTTCATTAACGTGTCTCCTTAACGACAGCTTTGGCAGAAATCCGCTTTTTTTTTCAGCGCCTGACAGGCATCATCGTCGTATGGCAGATTGCAGCTTTTCAGCAAGGCGTAGGATCAGCAGGAGCAGCCAGCCACGCTGCACAAGTAGGTGATGATTAAAGGCTGACCTTAAGCTTAATTAGTGGCAACGGAGAGATTTCACCGCTCGGCTATGAATCATGGGAAAGGAGAAGAAGGAAAAAAAGCAGCCACTAGGGAAATGTTACCTAAGTGATTAGGTGAGGGGTGTAAATCAATAGTGCTGTTGACCTGCGAACGGAGTGGCAAAGGGAAGTGAGGTGCGAAATGAAGATGGAAAAAAGAATGAAAGGACATGATTAACACGAGTGACCCGCTCCTGTCAAACGGACGTAAACAGCAACGCCACTCTCTCTCTCTCTTACGCACTCAGGGTGAGTTAGTAACCAGGGGCGTTCATTTCCTTTATTTTGTTAATTTAATAAGGAACAAGATGAGCTTCATAAATATTCTTTTACGAGCCGCTGCGGTGCCAGGCATTCTCGAGAAATTGGAATATAAATCTGTTTTTTTATTTTCTCTAATAATAGAAGGCGATTATTAAATACTGGGAGTATATTTTTAGGTTGGAGGGAAACACATTTGTGTGTGTGTGTGTGTGTGTGTGTGTGTGTGTGTGTGTGTGTGTGTGTGTGTGTGTGTGTTTCATCTTGTTTTGAATCTTTGATTTGATTTTAATACCATCATTTTTATCATATCATTAATTAAAAAATGTTTGATATAAAATGGTCTCATACACAAAATGTCAGTAAATTTAAATGTATTTTTACACACAAGTATGAAAATCTTCATTATGAGCTAATCCAACATAAAATACTTTTATACAGTATAAGGGCCACACTAAGAATAAAAAAAGATTAAAGTGGTGAAGTCATTACAATTTTATTCATGTTAGTAATGATTTTATTACAACTTTTCTTGTTAGTAATGACAAAATTACAACTTTATTCTCATAAATATTTACTTTATCACAACTTTATGCTCATTAGCAATGATTTTATTACTACTTTTGTATTCTGATTTTATTCTCGCAAGTTAACAACTTTATTACGACTTTATTCTCGTAAGTTAACAACTTTTTTACAACTCTATTCTCATGAATAACAACTTTAATATGATTTAAACGTTAACGTAATGACTTTATTCTCGTTAGCAATGATTTTATTACGACTTTTTTTCTGTAAGTAACGACTTTATTACTACTTTAGTCTCATACGTAATGACTTTATTCTTACTCTATTTCTTATAGATTAATGACTTTATTACAACTTTATTCTGATAAGTAATGTCTTTATTCTGACTTTATTCTCCTAAGTAATGATTTTATTACGACTTTATTCTCATTAGTAATGATTTTATTACCCTTTTTTCTTGTGAGTAGTATTCTCCTAAGTTAACGACTTTATTATGACTTTTCCTGTAAGTAATGATTTCATTACAAGAAAAGTAACTTCGCGACTTTAATCCCCAAGTCTGAATTCTTTCAAGGTACTCCTTTATTAGTCCCACACGGGGAATTTTTTTTTTTAACGCAACGTCATAAATTACAAAGTGATAAGTCCAGAAAAAAACAATGAGCAAACCTGCGAGTAAAATTGTGCATATATGTGCACGAATCTGCACGACTTTTTTAACTGTCCCAGTCCCTCTGGTTTGACTCAGTTCTTCTAATAAGAGCCATGGAGTCTATCGTGCATCCCAGCAGAGAACCACAGCCACAAGGTTAAGCAACACGCACTTCACATCCGTTTGTTGTTGTGATTTTGTTTAGCATTCGTCATAGCCGTGACAAATGTGGGGAGGACACTAGAACTGCTTGCAAAAGTTTCTTGTTTATTGCGAAAAAGTAAACCAAATGAATAACTAACTATGAAACATGGAGTATATTAGTCACCACGCTCTCATTATACGGCGAGAGTCAAACTTCTTGGCTCAACAGTGGCATAAACAACACAGAGAGAAACAGCACAAACCCTCCACCATATCTTTGAGACATGATATAGAGTTATTTTAAAAGGAAATAAATGAGCTAAAGAGACAAAATGTACCAGTATGTTAACACTTTGCTCGTTTTAACATCGGGCCTGATTGGGATTCTTTGGCTTCTGTAACCAGCCTGCAGAAGAAACTCAAGAAATCACATGTTTTGGTGCTTTTCTGTTGCAAACCGATTTACACACACACACACAAAAAGAAGTTCTTCATTTCTGCAGAGTAACCGCAGGTAAAGTTGTAGTCACGTCTCTCGCTCTCTACTTAAGATAAAACAATTAATCTTACATTGAGCACTTCACCCCAGAGCTCAGAAAGCGCCTAAATGGCTCATTGAAGACTGCGCCTTTAATCGCTTCTGTGAGGCAGTTTGTGCCAAATCAGTTGTTGATGCTTCATTCCCCTCTCTCCGTGCTCGAAATAGGGGAAACTCTTCTTATTACGGAGCCAAGGTTAGAAGACACATTAGTTATTGAGGAGTGGAAATCAATAGCCAAAGCAGTCCTTGAGATTGGCAAACTACAGCGTCTCAGGCTGCCGGTGTGAGCACAACTGTGTGTGTAATCTGTACTCGCTAAAGTCTGTGCTGGAGAAAAAGGCCTGAAATCTCTTAACGGGAAACAATACTCTGAATGGATTATGTCGTGTTCGGAATATGGGAAGCTTTAGCACAGATTGAGGTCAAGGTAAAGGTCACCTGCCAAAGTGTCAATTAGTATGAGTGTAAGGCTTTAATTCACTGCTGACATTTTTAATACATGGTCGTAAACTTCCCGGCTACCTTCACATGCAAGAAACATTCAATTTTGAGAAATCCCCAACCCTCAAACCCTGACGTTTCCTAAATCAAATGAATGACCGTAATCTACCGTCATAAACGGATATTTAGTCTAAAAAACCAAAGACCACTTGAGTGTGTTTCACCAACTAAACATGAGGATAAACACACACAGGCTTGTAAATTCTCAGTTGAACGTTTGGCTAAACTTTGGCCGACTTCGACACTTGAATACACAAGGAAAATCCGCTTCTTAATTTATGGACATGATGGTTTACACATCTCCTAAAACACAAGTGGAAACAGTGAAAAACGCCGAACAGACGGACTCAAAATTTGATCAAGCTTCTCCTCTCTAAAACTCGTAAAAACGTCTTAATTTTGATTTTTGTTTACATGTTCATTTATACCAGCAAACTCACAATGTTTGCATCCTTGAAGTCAATTTTAAAAACATAACCAGCCAAAAAAAAAGTGAGTTAAAAGTTCTCCATCTGCTCCAGACACCAGAAACAGCTCTTCTCTTTTTCCCCTCAGCTTCTCTGTGCAGTTATTATAATACCAGTGTAGCTTCATACTGCGGTTAAATCAGCGAAACACACGGACAGATTCAAAAGTGTGTTAACCTTTCCTCGAACTCCCCCTTCAGCCGCAACATGAGCGAACACACCAACACATTCACAGATACACACACACACACACACACTTTGATTCGTTCCCTCTTTTTCTGTCTCTGTTTTTTGTCCCTTTTGTTTTGTCTTTGTCAATTTGTGAGACTCGGGACTATATTAGGTCTGACGTTTGTCCTCGACTGCTGTCCTCTACCGCTCTTTTGTGTTTTTGGTTGTTTTGTCTAACCCTTAGATGGTTGTCTTCTTTTTAAACGGCAGAATATGATATTAAACAGATACGCATCTGACACTTTAGAGGAGATTCAGTGGTTGTTGGATTCTCTTGTTTACTTCCACTCAGTGATACTTTACAAAAAATCATTTCAGCTCTAGAACCAGAAACTGGACCTCAAAAACAAGTGTGGTCACTTTCTCTCCTGTTTGAACCTTCAGGGAAAACATAATAAGAAGTCCCGCCCACTCTTGATTCTGATTGGTCAGCAACAGCAAAACAGGGGGTTCAATCTGATCCCATCTTTACATTTGGTCTTTGTAAACAGAGTTCAGTCTCGACAAGGGTGACCATACATGCTATTTTACCCGGACATGTCCTCTTTTTGGGGGACTGTCCGGCTTTGTCCAGGGGAGTTTAAGAAATCCTTCAAATGTCCGGGGTTTTGTACGGATGTTTTGAGTTTGTGTCGCGTGGACTTACTGAGTTAGAAACGCGTAAAAAACACTCAGTCCAACCGAAAAAAAAACTCCAAAAATTTACTACTCGTGACTTCGACCCGCATAGCCGTGTTCTCTTTTTGGGGATTCAGAATATGGTCACCCTAGTCTAGACCAATTTTTTGTGTAAACACTTGTTGTGAACTGGCACTATATGAATAATGATTGATTGATTGATTGAACTTTTGTAATAGAAAATAGTTATAGTACGATTGATTACTACCCTACTTTCTCACCTATTTACCAGGATGGTTTAAATACTTGACTCTGATTGGTTGAAACTACAGCAAGGTCATTCTGAACAGACTGAACATCAATCAGATGCCACATGTCAAATCATATGCTAAGTTGGGAAGATAAGGACACTGTTGCCATGGTAGCACCACCACATAGTAATGCTGCGTTCCAATTACCTCCGAAGTTGGATGTCAGAGCTGGGAAACGCCACACCTGAGTTCCAGTCGGAAAACCAAGATGGATGCCTACAGTTAGCCATTATCAGCTGTTGTTAGCTGTTGTTAGCTATACCAGTTGTAAACAATGCATAACACAGTATTTTACTCTTACAAACACCATAGCACCGTGTTCACAGTTAGACGTTGGGCAGTACAACATACACCACTTATTTAATTTCACAAAAACAAAATAGAAGTGCTGATAAATAATACATTACGAGAGCTTTCACTGCACTGCCATCTTGGATCATGATGTTGTCGTCAAGTCGGGGTTGGCGAGGATCATCTGACTTTCTGAGTCAGAAATCCGACTTCAGGGGACTATTCCAGATGAATTTTTCGACTCGGAGCTCGGAAATCCCAACTTCCGAGTACAGCATAAGCCCTCTTTTAAGGATCACCTGCATCACCTTATTTGTATTGTAACTACATAATCGGGTCAACCAGTCAAGCACAAGCCCCTCCCACTCTGCATCCCAGTCAGGGTTGTATTTTGCAGAACCACCTGCTCACTATACATTAGAGGATTCCTCGTCTTAACGGTCCATCAAGATTAATGGAGGGCAGGTTGTGCGAGGATATATAAGGAAACAAAATTAATTACAGTTACACAAAATTAAATTAAGGTGTGAGGAAAAAAGAAAAAAAAATCACCGCAGCGGAAGGTCAATTTCAATCTGAATCAATTTACCGAATCTGCTCGCAATTAAAAACCTGTTCCTAACACCCCATGAAAATATGGCCCAGCCAGTGGATTTCTGTCAATTCAGGTGGAGCTGAGTCCCTTGTGGCTCGTTTCACTCCAACACACACACACACACCCACACCTCCACGTCCTGTTATAATTGACTCTATTGAGCAGGAACAGCATGCTTTCTCATTGCTCTCGCACTAATTGGGTTCTGCGCCCTTACTTTTTACATGAAACACATTTTATGGGGTAATTTAAAATACATAGCTCTGCATAATTAGAAAGAGAGGAGGGAATGAGCGGGATTCGTGCCACGACAGCGGCGAGATGAAATGTCTTTTGTGCACTCGGGGAGAATCTTTTGTCTAAAAAGGAAAAAAAAGGATGAAGTGAGTTTGGTCAAAAATGTCAGAACACCCTCTTTAAAATGTAAATATTAGACGACTGCACCCAGAGAGGCTGGAGAGTCTGTTTGGAGAGCTGATACAAATGGGGTCATCCATAAGTGATTTTCGGGGGAAAGTCAGAGGAAGGAAACGCGCATTAAGATAAATAATGATTAGCTCTCCAGAACATATGCTGTTACTTTCATAACCCGCTCTAATGACTTATTTGGCAGTTGTTGTTTTGACCTGCGTGTACTGTGTAAATGTTCAAACACTGAGGTGAGGCCAGATGTTTGGCAGACACGTGTGCGCATTAACAAACAGCGCGCACACACATGCAGATGCTCGGCCAAACGGCACATCCACAATAGCGTCTGCGCACACACACAGAGAGACTCGCACATACTTGACGTCCTCTTGGGATGGAGTCATATTTTCCCTCCCTGTCCCCGCTTGTTGATATTTGTCCTGTCAACTCTCTAAACCCGCTGCTGGCTCCTGTGTGGATCTGAGCAAAGCACTTCAAACAGTGTTGCAAATATTTAACATCTTGAAATGAGATTTAGTTGGAGTTTACTTCCTGCTAATCGTTAACAGAAACGTGTGCGAAATAAACAACAACAGCTAAACGGGACTTTCTTGTTGGGCTGAATACGAGGCTCACGTTAAAAGTTTTGTCAATCACAAAAAAAAGTCCCAGAATGCTCAGTGGAGAAGTCAAAAGTAGTTTGCACTTTTTGAAAGCTGAAAGGACGAAGAGCTTGATCTGAACATACAGGAGCAGTGAATCAGAGCCGGAGAAAACAAATAGATGTGTGCAAATGAGTTACTTTCTGGAGGCCCTGTTAACAGAGATGTGCATTTACCCCAAATTGCCGCCAGATACAGATGAGCGTCAGAAATCACCGTCGGCCAATTCCTACTGGATGCATTTGTGAGGCGAATTTTGTGGCGAATTTCGAACAGCAGGAATCGCAAGGACTCACAAGAACCCACAAATTCACGTGCATTCGCGCAATAACAAGTCATCTCTATAAAAACAGCCACATAACCATATAAGCAGTAGATTTGGGGGCGGCAGTAGCTCTGGAGGTAGAGCGGTCGTCCAATAACTGGAAGGTTGGCGGTTTGAGTCCCCCTTATCCCGAGTTTGTCCGTTGTATCCTTGGGCAAGACACTTAACCCACCTTGCTCCCAGTGTGTGTCCTCCACAGGTGTATGATTGTGAGTGTTGTGTGGTGGTGTTTGGAGAGGCCGTAGGTGGTAGGTAGTAAACTGGCTGCCACGTTTCCGTCAGTCTGCCCCAGGACAGCTGTGACTACTAAAGTAGTTTACCACCACCAAGGTGTGACTGTGTGAGCGAATGAATGATGTATCCAATGTAAAGCACTTTGAGTGTCTCTGATAAAGCGATATATAAAATCTGATGCATTAAGTATTATTATTTTTTATTTATTAATTTATTTAGATTGTGTCCTTCCAGATGAGGAAATTCTGTTTTTGTGGAGATCGGGAATTAACCTTGGGTTAGTGCAATATTCATCTTTATCTACGAAACAAACCACATTTGCATGTTGTGAAATACAGTTTTATTTTGAAAAGAAGCTGGATGTTTTATTTTGTGTCTGTGCCCAACTTCCTTTTCAGCACGGGATAATCTGTGCTGAATTTATGCAGCATGCTGCATCCAGAAAAAGTAGAACTCTAGCGATCGGCTACGAAGCCCGCTGAACTGCAAAAAAAGGAAGATGGTGGAATTTGACACGTTGACTAGAATGGAACCGATCAGCGGCAATCAGCTCAAACGGCCTTTTCGCCGCCGTTCCTCATGCGGTGGAAATCTTGGGTTGAAGTGCAGTGAATACAGCAACATTAGTACAATTTTTAAACATAATACCCCCAACCCCCTGGCAGCTTCCCTTCCTCCCCTCCAAGGTCTCCCCTGGATCAGTCAAACATCATCAAGTGTCAACAGTACATTGTCATGAGTGGTGAGAAGTTTATCCTTTATCTGCGCAGCTGCACCTAAAGTAACACTATATCTTGAAAATAAATCACCCATTTCCAAGTACGAAGATCATGAGGTGGTAGCCATCTTCGCACTAGGAGTTTTTTGGCAGTTGTGAGTCTGCTCAGCAATTAGTTTACTGTTTCTTACTTATATGCGTTTGAGATTCATCGTTAAGGAGAGGTAAAAAGATCCCTGATTGACATTTGTAAAGGTGTCCACTCCCCTTCTTAGGAGAGAAGTTTCATCTGATGCAGTAGACTCATAATGCAACAGCTCCACCACTGTATCATCATAGCTCTGTGCTGACAGACTCGGTAGAGGACACGGCGGAGGCGACCACCTTATATGATGATAGATTGAGCCTCTTAAATATTTCTGAAGGGATTGAAATAACCTGTCTGTTTAATTTAACTTTTACTTTAATCAATAACTGAGACGGACGTTATTATAAAGAGGCCTCTGCTGCATAACTAACCCAAACTTAACTGTTCAAACTTTGGGATTTTTCTTCAGTTTTATGACTTTTATTGGTAACAGAAGCGTTTCTTTCTTCTATTTCTGGTAGTTTAACTCAGAAAAAAAAAGATCTAAGTACTTCTTTCTTCGCTGCTTTTTGTCACAGATTAAGATCGGGGCTGTTCGTGTCCTCGTAAAAGCCTTGAATCGCCAGATGTTGGAAAGTGGAAAAAAGGGTGTCTAATACTTAAACACAAAAATTAATGATATTCTCTGATCTTCTGTCTGTTTTTCCCTTCTTCTACTCTTTATAAAAGGCTGAGCGGTAACCTCAATACCACTGATAAACCCCAGCACACTCTGCTCTATAAATAACATGCCAATGTTTAATAACCCAGTATGACCCTCATGAAACACTCTCATATTAAGAGTACTGGTGATTATTGCTGTTATTGAAGCCGTATGGCTGGAAATGTGGGCCCGCTAATACTCCCCGTTATTCATGACTGCTGTGGCTGCATCTGGTTTCTCTCAGGTTTAAATCAATCCTTGTCATGATTCACCCTGAGAAACAGCACGGCAGCTCCAGCTCATGTATCAGAATCTGCTCTTCTACTCAGCCAGAGGATCACACCAGCGAGAGAGCGCTGTAAAATGTCACCCGGGTTGGAAAGTTTGCTTTAATTGCGGCCGGACTGATCGACTTGACTCAAAGATTTCACCTCAAACATTCAGTTAAAGTGTAAAGACAGAAGAAGAAAAAGGGATTTCACCGGGTTTACCTTGTCCTGTCGTGGACTATTTAATGAGGGACTTAAACAGGCTGGAGTCGATTACAAAATCTGATTTATCCTCTTTTTTTTGGACGTTAGCTCTGTATTATGAATATATCTTTTCAAATATATTAAAGCTGGATCTTATAATGCAAATATACTCAAGATGTTTTATTTTAAACACTGAACTAATCCAATAAGAATACTGGATAATGTGGTGAAACAGTAGGAGACGTTAATACATGATTTTGGCAATAAAAAATAAGACGAATAAATTTTTTTGAGCAAGTTTTAAAGGTTTTGCATCTTTCTAGCATTAAATGTACAAAAACAGAACAATTGACAACCAGCAAACATGCAAACATTGATATTTTCAAACCCGATACACCTCCTTATAGATCCTTTTCCTCATAGATGTCTCCTTGCCTCCTCCTCCTCCTCCCTAGTCTCTCCTCTGTCTTAAATCCATTGTAAATTGACAAAATAAACAACAGAGACGTCATTGGAGATAAATACCTAAATACACTTTAAATGATTAAGAAACTATACATAAATAAAAGAATATAAGATATATAAATACATGTTTTACAGCCTTATTCAAAGATATACATTACCCATGTATTTTGTTATATGTTTGCGTAGGAATGCATATATGTAAAATGAATAATAATAAACTTTTGATACAACATTTTCAAGAAGTTCAAGAACTTTCCAACAAACTAGCAGCAAAATAAGTCAGAAACAAAAAAACTGTGCAAAGAAAGAAATCACATAAATAACACATGAAAAGGCACCAAAAAGCAAGAGGAGAGAGAAATGATGGGAGGGGATGAAATATTGAAAAAGCAAGAAAAGGAAAATATAAAATATGTAAAAGCTAAGAATAAATCAAAGAATTGGTGACAGTTAAAGAAAATGTTGAATAAATATGTTTTTTTAGAAGTCTTATAAAAATGCTCCCGGAGTTTACGTCCCCGCACGCTCGAAGAACAGGAAAGGAGAACAAAAGTTGAAAAAGTCTGAGCTGCAGATTTTCATATTTGTGCGACAGGATCTGAGAGCCGTGAAGGGTTATAAAACAACAACAAATAAGTCAGGGTGGGGGTTCAGGTGTTTGTGGGGTTGAAGAAACTTTTAAGGGCAGATTAGACCGAATTCAACTAACACCTAAATCTGCAAGACCGGAAAAAAAGATATAAGTAATCACCGCATATTCACATCGATTAGCACAGCTACAACCACAACATCTAGAACACATAAATATATCTAAGCAGACATAAAGTATCACTTAAATGTAATACAGCAAGTAAAAATGCATCAAATTTGTCCTTACAGAAATAACAGGACTGTTTATTACATCAAAAAAGACAGACAATTTTAGTTACATGTCTAATTTTTGTAAAGTGCTTTTAAATTTCTTGCTGCGTCCAGGGAGAGAGAAGGGACCTGAACTACTAAGAGCCTCATTTACAAGTCAAATGAACTTAAAATTAGTCTGATAGAGACACTGGGAGCAAGAGCAGGCTGGAAAATTCGCTCAGTCTTTCTGAATTTAAAAATTTATTCAGTTTTTTATGAGATATATTATTAATAAAGAAATTTTTAACATTTTGATGAAACTTTTGCAACATTTATTTTTTCAAAATAAGTTGAAGAAAGGATGAAACATTACCGATTACCCGTCTAAGGGAGTTCAGTCATATCGTTACGATACTTGCATACATCCAGCCCAAGGCAACAGCTGAAGTTCCATGTGATGTCCTCCATCATACTGTTGCTAGGATACAGACTCAACATGGACGCTACGAACGATAGTTCCCTACCAAGGAAGTTCAGTCATATCATAACGACACTTGTCCTTACAGAATGGCAATGGCTGAAGTTTCATGTGATCTTCTCTGTGATACTGTTGCTAGGAAACAGGCTCAACATGGACCAAACAAACAATAGTGCTGGACGGCTCCTCTCTCTTCGCTGCAGGAAATCTTTGGTACCAACAACCATCAGATTTCTTAATTTTTCTATAAACAGTAGATTAGATGAGATTCCATTTAAACCAATTTCCCCTTGTGGGAAGTTCCTCTATTGTATTTGAAAAATTTAATTATAACAAAAAAGGTCCAGCGAGAGAAAGTACAGACTGACAAAAAATAAATTGATTAAAAAAACACTAAATGTGGGATTTAAAAACAGATTTCTGAACAAAAAGTGAAGTTTTTCCCTTTTTAAATTTCAACTTTGTTTTGTAAAGCCTTTAAACAGGCATATGTTTTCAATTCTGATGATGCTCATTCAAGTTTCAATCTTGTTAGACACAATTAGTAATAGATTAAATTAACTTGGAGTTAATGTGCAGCAATTCTTCACCAAATGTGATTAAACAATGACGCCAAATACTTAAATCCATTGTTTAAAAACCCGCCGCGTAAATTAAACTAAAGGATAAAGGAGGTGATTGTATTTGCTCTCATTATGTATCGCATGGAAACGACAACGTGGAAACACTGCAGCTTCAAAATGGGTAAAAACTTACTGATTGATATTTAAATTGTTAAAAGCATAAATTCATTCACTGCTAAAGGAGTAAAAAAAAAGTTCCAGACACGCGTCTCTTTCCTCCCGTCTGAGCAGCTCGTGTTAAAAGCCAGAGTGCCCGGCTGCTGTATGTCTTCATTAAGGACAAATTGGCT